CGATGTTTCTAACTTTCGATTCTTCTTTCTTCCTCTCTGTAAAAAATCAATAATATATATATTATATATATAAATCAATAATATTTATAAATCAATAATATATATACATTATACATAAATCAATAATATTTATAAATCAATAATATAAATATTTTAGATATATATATATTTTAAAAGTTCTGTGGGCTTCCTTTCTGAAAAACTTAAAAAAAATGAAAAACAAAGAGTATTTGGGGTCTTTTCCAGGGGACCTTGAATCGCAGCTCCCCAGGGGAGGCAGAAACCACCCGTTCGTTGAGTGTGTACTTCGTGCCCATGATGCTGATGAGCGTTTACTTTTACTTACTCTTCACCGCTCTCCTGCCGTGTAGAGTTAAAATAGGTCTCGTTTCACAGAGAAGGTGGGGCCCAGAGAAGATCAGCAGCTGGCTCAGAACCAGACAGCTCCTGGCTGCCGGGGCAGGTTCCCATTCGGTCTGTCTCATGCCAAAGCGTGGTTTTCTGCTCTTCTCACCGGGGATTGCAGTGGCCAGGACAAGAGCAGTGGGAACCTTTTGAGGCAGGAGGCCGTTCTGACTGGAGGCACCGGGAGGTACATCTCCCAACCACCTGCCACGAGCAGTTTGGATGTCCTACCTTCCCATCCACAGCAAGACCTGCGTGCATTTTATTTTTATCTTGCCTGGCGTACTTTGTTCATTGTGTTGCGTGACGAGAGCACAGACAGGTGACCCAGTGTTATCTCTCCTTTAAAATGGGACGTGGAGTTCATGGGTGACTCAAGCAAAAAGTTCTAATAATAGAGAAATTACTTTATTTATTATTATTATTTATTTATTTTTTTTAAAATTTCTTTATTGATTAAGGTATCACATGTTTGTCCTCATTCCCCCCCATTCCCATTCCCCGCCCCTCCTTATGCATGCCCCCACCCCCTGTTGTCTGTGACCACTGGTTTGGCTCATATGCATGCACACAAGTCCTTTGGTTGATCTCTCCCCCTTATCCCCACCCTCCCCTACACTCCCTCTGAGGTCTGACAGTCTGGTCCATGCCTCCTTGTCTCTGGGTCTGTTTTTGTTCATCAGTCTATGTTTTCCATCATTTCCCCTAGATGAGTAAAACCATGTCCTACTGGAAATATATTTATAAGAACCAAAAATGAGACAAGCAATAATGGTTATGCTGAATATTTTTTGTATTATTATTATTATTTTAAATATAGTTTATTGATTTTTTACAGAGAAGAGAGAGGGATAGAGAGTTAGAAACATCGATGATAGAGAAACATCGATCAGCTGCCTCCTGTACATCCACCACAGGGGATGTGCCCGCAACCAAGGTACATGCCCTTGACCGGAATCGAACCTGGAACCCTTCAGTCCGCAGGCCGACGCTCTATCCACTGAGCCACACTGGTTTCGGCTATTATTATTTTTAATTCATTTTTTTATTTTCCTATTTTCCTTAATCCTCACCTGAGGATATTTTATATACATATATATCAGAGAGAGATAGAAACATCAATTGTGAGAGAGAATCATTGATCAGCTGCCTACTGCATGTGCCACACTAAGGATCGACCCCACAACCTGAGTATGTGCCCTGATTGGGAATTGAACTGTAACCTCCTGATTCATAGGTTGACACTCAACCACTGAGCCATGCCAGCCGGGCTAGGCAAATTGCTTTAAAATTGAACTCCCAGGGCAAAGTCAAACAACCAGAAAACTCAAACAACTGGAATGTTTTTCCGTGTAGAATTGATGCCTGATGTTATGTGATAGGCTGTTTACGTTCATTCTTTGAGGCACTGGGCCAGGTGCTGGGGACACCAAGGGGATTAAACGCACACGGATCTGCCTTTGTGAGTGGGGAAAACATTGTTGGTGTCAAAGGGTAGCTTGCGGGACTTTGCTTCTCTGCTCCTCCCAGCCTCCCCGCCACCTGCAGCCTTTGATGGGAAGAGGTAGCGTTTTTTCGAGCTTTCCGGTGAAGCTGTTCTTTTCCTGCACCATCTCTGCCCCCGGAAGGCCCCTATGAGAGACCTCCTGGGGCTGTGCTGAGGGGGTACAATAGTGCAGCCAAGGGTAACAATGAGGGAAGCGTTTGGTCCACCGTTGAGCCCAGCCCTGACAGATGAGCAGAGGTAAGTCAGCCAAAGAAGGGCAGTGGCAGGAAGCTGAGCCAGCTTCCTCCTCTCAGGGCCCCGAGGCGACCTGACTCCGCTGTGCCCTTGGCTCTGGGGAGGGGAGGGAGGAGGGAAGATCAGTCACTAAAGGGCCTTCTCCCACGTGTGCTGAGGAACTCTCCTCTCCTCCAAATCCCCGCGCATGTCAGCGATGCAGGAAGTTCCGTCTTATTCTCCTCTGAAGTCCTAGGTCCAATCACAGGGACTGGTTGGCCTGTAGCTAGTGTCGAATGTGTGTGCTGTATGGAGACAAGTTTTGGGGAGTCATGAGGGGGCAGAGATGTCACAGACATCCTGCCACAGAGAGGCAGGATGTGAGGGGAGTAAGACTGAAAGTGGAAGGGGGTAGGTCCTTGTGCCATACTTGGAGTCTTAGGCTCTGTGATCCTGAGCAGTTTACCCACCGACGGTCAGGATTTTCACCTGGAAAATCCTATATAATAAAGAGGTATTGTGCAAATTGACCCTCATACCTTCACACAAGATGGCCACCCCCATGTGATCAAAGATGACCGCCACAAGAAGGCCAGCAGGGGAGGGTAGTTGTGGGCTATCAGGCTAACAAGGGAGGGCAGTTGGTGATGACCAGACTTACAGGGGAGGGAGGGAGGTTGGGGGGAGACCAGGCCTGCAGGGGAGGGTAGTTGGGGGCAACCAGGTTGGCAGCGGAGGGCAGTTAGGGGGGGAGGGGGCAGGCAGGGAAGGGGAGTTAGGGGTGACCAGGCTGGCAGGGGAGGGCAGTTGGGGGAGACCAAGCCTGCAAGGGAGGACAGTTGGGGGTGATTGGGCCAGCAGGGGAGCAGTTAGATGTCAATCAGGCTGGCAGGGGAGTGGTTAGGGATTGATTGGGCTGGCAGGCAGGTGAGTGGTTGGGAGCCAGCAGTCCTGGATTGTGAGAGGGATGTCGGACTGCTGGTTTAGGCTCAATCCCACAGGGGTCCCAGGTTGGAGAGGGTGCAGGCATGGCTGAGGGACCTCCGCTCCCCCCCCCCCCAGTGCATGAATTTCATGCACGGGGCCTCTAGTAGGAATAATAATAAGATAGTCCCTGCCACACAGGGCTCTTGGGCTGATCACATGGAATGATGTGAATGACATACTCAGCAGGATGCCCGGCTCATCTGAAGTGCCCCCAAATTGGTTGGTATATGTTCAGATGACTCAGGTAAGCACATGACTCTCCGCTACTTTCTCCTAAGTATAAAAAAAAAAAAGAAGGAAAAGCCATCATTTTAGTTAAATGTGTGCTTTACATAGAGAAAAAGAAAAGACAACCCCAACTGGAATGTTGCTGACAAAATAGTAATTTTAGCATACGTTGAACAGCATGTTCTTAAAAAAAAATTCTCTGAAACAATCATTTGGGCTGAACAAAGAAAATGTGGATCTGGCTCACAGAGGGCAGCGGGTGGGAAGGGGACTTTTCTTGGCGTTTAAAAGGCCCTGGCGTAGTTCTATTAGTTGCCGTAAGAGACTGCCAACACCTTGGGATGAAGGTTAGTATTCAGGTTCCTTTGGCCTTGAGCAGTGTCTGGTCTTAAGAGGCTTTGTGTTCTGTATTTAAGCAAATACACACCCAGTGTTTTCCAAGAGCGTTGGCCTCTGGTTTGCTCCCAAGAAAAGCAGGAAACAAGCTTGCCCACAAATCCAGATGAAAAACAAAGGGCCTGCACCACCGCCACACATCTGGCAACCAGACAAGTTCCCTCACGCGCAGCTGGGATGGCAGTTCCTCAAGAGCAGGAGGCTTGTGTTGTTAGACTCCCCGTAACCCTAGAACTAAGCGGGATTTGGGCCTGATGCTTAACATACGTTACTTCGTTGAACGAAGGGAAAAGGAAGCACTGCATTGGTGGAGCACCGTGACCCCACCTGATGGGGCAGGGTCCACGTGCGTTTGGTTTAAAAAAAAAAAAATCACTCTCAGGTTCATGACCACTAGGAGGACAGATGGGGAGCACCATTCTGGAAAAGCCATGTGGCCATGTGTAAGGAGAGCCTCAGAGTGCTAAGCACAACGAGGTTCACTGCAACTAAGGGAGGTTGGAAGGATGGAGGGGGGCTGTGTGGGCCGGAGATGGAGCCTGCCACTGAGGTACTTGGCCTTGATCAGACTTGAACCTGGGACCCTTCCGCCTGAGGGCCAAGGCTCTATCCACCGAGCCAAACCGACCAAGGTTGTCAGTGCGATATAAAACCGAAATGCAAGGTAAGAGGTGGATGTGGAGGGGAAGATGGGGTGAACAAGCTTCTTAAAGCGGGAGATACCCGTGTTAAATGAAAAGCCAGGTGTAAACTACTCCAGGAGGCGGGAAAACTGGAAAAAATGGTAAACACAGCAGCAGTTTTCAGGATAAGGTTTTTGAGGATGCTTTTGATTTTCTTCTTTCCACTATGCGTTTTCTTTTTTATGTTTTTAGTGAGCGCGTTTTCATATTAAAAAAAAAAAAAAAAGAAAGAAAGAAAGAATCCACAAGCTTAGAAGAGAGTAGGCACCCTGGAGTCCCGGCGCCCGCCCTGTCAGCAAGCCCCGCCCACCGTCACTTTCGACCCGCCCACCGCCCCTTCACTCCGCCCACCGTCACTTTCGCCCTGCCCACTTCTGTCCTCTCTGGCCCCGCCCACCGCCCTCCCGCAAGCCCCGCAAGCCCCGCCCACGACCATCCCCACCGGCCCCGCCCACGGCCCTCCCGCCATGCCACGCCACGCCACGCCACGCCACGCCCACCACGCGCGGACAGCAGGGGGCGCGCGGCCTCCGCTCGGAGCCCGTCCCCCTGCAGTCCTCGCGGGGCGGGCGTCGCGCTCCATGGGCTGCTGCGAGAGCACCGACGTGGCGGCGGCCGCGGTGCCTGAGCCGGAGGCCACAGGCGAGGGAGACCCGGGCCTTGGTTCGCCAGGTACGACCGAGGGGAAGGCGGGCGCTAGGCCGTGGGGCCTGGGGGCGCCTCGGGCGCCCGCCATGGTGGTCCCGGAGCCCTGGGCCTCGCTGCACGTGGCCGTCGTCGCGGGGTCCGAAGAGGGGCCACGCCTGCCCTGGGGACGCCCTGCGGCCGACGGAGAAATGGGGCCTGCCTCAGTTTACCCACAGGAACGGAGGCCGGCGCTGGCCGAGGGGCTGGCCCGGCCGCTCTGAGAGAGGAGGAGGCGGACGGAGGGATGGAAGACACAACGGCTCAGGAACCCAGAGGGAATCACTGCTCTGTGTTTTTTTTTTTTTTTTTTTTTTTTTTTAATATATATTTTATTGATTTTTTTACAGAGAGGAAGAGAGAGGGATAGAGAGCTAGAAACATCGATGAGAGAGAAACATCCATCAGCTGCCTCTTGCACATCCCCCACCGGGGATGTGCCCGCAACCAAGGTACATGCCCTTGACCGGAATCGAACCTGGGACCCTTCAGTCCGCAGACCAACCCTCTATCCACTGAGCCAAACCCGCTTTGTTGTTTTTTGTTTTTAAATATTTTTATTGACTTGAAAGAGAGAGAGAAACATTAATGACGAGAGAGAATCATCCGTCAGCTGCCTCCCGGACGCCCCCTCCTGGGGATGGAGCCGCCCACCTGGATCACGCAGCCTCTGAGCCAGGCTGGGGTCACGGTTCCACGGTTGTCCTCAGGCTGGGCAAGCCATGCTGCAAACATCATGTTTCCAAAGAAAAACCAGAGAGGAAGGGACCACACATCTGGCTCTGTGCGGGGAAGTCACCTTTACTTCTCAAAAAGCCAGACTCTGAGCTGAGGCTGACAGCACCCGGGATTAAAGTGCCAAAGGGGGGCAGGTCCTGGGTGGGGCCTATGCACCCTCCCCTTGCCCACACGCATCCTCCTGAGCTCTGATGTTGTCAGACAAACCCTCCTTCCCTCCTTGAATCGTGGGCACATCCCCCCCACCCCCAACCATCCCACTGTGTCCCTAAGATTCATCTTTGACATGAGAAAGTTTGCTCTGCTTTGTAGATGATGGTGATAATGGGAAACGGTTACTAAGCACTGTTGTTTTTTTTTAAATATATATTTTATTGATTTTTCACAGAGAGGAGGAGAGAGGGATAGAGAGCTAGGAATGTCGATGAGAGAGAAACATCGACCAGCTGCCTCTTGCACACCCCCTACCGTGGATGTGCCCGCAACCAAGGTACATGCCCTTGACTGGAATCGAACCTGGGACCTTTCAGTCCGCAGACCGACGCTCTACCACTGAGCCAAACCGGTTTCGGCACTAAGCACTGTTTTAAGCACTTGACATGGATAACCTTTCACCTGGCCAACAACACCACGAGGGGCGTATCATAACCCCCGTTTTACTGATGGAGAAACTGAGGCACAACGCGGTTAGGAAACTTGTCCAAAGTCTCACAACTGGTCAGTGGTGGAGCTGGGATACAAACTGGGGCAGTTTGACTCGAAAGCTCAGACTATGGCCATTAGACTGCCCTCACCCCACTTCCTCCCGGCTTTTATAGGTGAGGAAAGGGAAACCCAGAAACATAACTTGCCCAGTGGAGGGAATTGTCAAATGCGGTGGGATCTGTCTCTCCCGAAGGCTGGTAATTCAGTTACCAGGCAGCAGATGGTGGAGGGCTAACCGGAATGGCAGAAACAGCCGAATGGAGAGAGCAGCTCCCTGCAAAGAGTCAGGGTTTGGCAGGGATGTCAGAAGGGGGAGCCGCTGAGGACACCTCCCTGGAGAGAGGGAGGGTTTGCATCCTGCTGGGGTTGAGGACTTGAGCTGGGGGGGAGGGGAGGATGGGAGAGAAGTTTGGGTGGGGCCACCACCCACGTTTCTTCTGAGAAACAAAACCACAGGCCTAAGATGGCATCACCGGCCCGGCTCATGTGGCTCAGTGGTTGAGCACTGATTGACCTATGAACCAGGAGTTCATATTCCTAGTCAGGGCACATGCCTGGGGTACAGACTCCCAGTCCCCAGTGTGGGGTGTGCAGGAGGCAGCCCATCAACGATTCTCTCTCATCATTGATTCTCTCAGTCTCTCTTCCTCTTCCTCCCTCTCTGAAGTAAATTTATGTATATAATAAGAGCAGAATGGTGTCACTGGGGCTGCAAGCTCATGCTGCCGTTGGTGCAGCAGGTTAGACCGGTGAAGTCAGACTGGACCTCGGTGCTCGAGGTCTCGCTAAGAAAGAATTCAGAGTCAAGACTCACACTATAGAAGGAAGTTTATTTAGAAGGCGAGGTAGAATACGTGAGCTGTGGAAGAAAGGGGCTCAGGAGATAAGTTACAGAGGCGAAAGGAAGGCCCCTGGAGCTTAGGAAAAAGAGAGAGGTGGGGAGAACACTCCTGGGGGGGAGGGAGCACAGGGTCCTCCAGCTTGAGGGCATTTATCTGGAGGTCTGAGGGGAGGATCCCCATAGAAGACTCATCAGCTCTGCAGGTGTGTCCGTTCAGGGTCGTGGTCTCTGCCGATTGGATGGTGCCAGGTCAGGGAGTCCTTAGTCCTGAGATCAGCCATGGCAGCACTTGTTTTGCTGCTTTTCTGGGCCTGGAGCTGAAATATAACTGAGGCCTAGACAAATGTCAGAAACTCATTGTCGCCCTAACCGGTTTGGCTCAGTGGATAGAACGTCGGCCTGTGAACTGAAGGGTCCCAGGTTCGATTCCGGTCAAGGGCATATACCTTGGTTGCGGGCACATCCCCAGTAGGGCATGTGCAGGAGGCAGCTGATCAATGTTTCTTCTCATTGGTGTTTCTAACTCTCTATCCCTCTCCCTTTCTCTCTGTAAAAATCAATAAAATATATTTTAAAAAAAGAAAGAAAGAAAGAAAGAAAGAAAGAAAGAAAGAAAGAAAGAAAGAAAGAAAGAAAGAAAGGAACTCATTGTCCTGGGAACTTACTGCTTAAGGACTATTCTCCGGGCCCTTGGTTCATTCTCCCTCTAAGGAGGTCTAACCTGCATAACTAACAACATGCCAGAGGAAAGGTCATGGGTGGGTCTGATGAACCTCATGGCCAGCGATTTGAGAAGTCAGGAGTCTAAACCTCAGGGCCAGTGATCTGCTAGGGAAAGAGAGGTTATCCTTGGGGTGAGATCTTTGTTTTGCCCGTTGCTAGGCGCCTGGAGTTTTCCATCCTGGTGACCTTCTGTACTTGGCCTTCCGTCCTTGCTCTCTGCTCACGTCTGTCTAACTGCCTGCCACAATACCAAACCTAATTTAATTCCTGACATAATTGCAGTTTCAACCTCTTCCAGAAACACAATCAACCAGCCTGGAATTTTCTAGGCAAGCACCAGTGAGGTGACCTGTCACATGGATCCTGTCTCCAACCCCCAAACCCCTCTTTAGCAAGAGGCCTAAAAGCAATTCTTTCTTCTCTTTCCCTAGTAACTCCCTTGCCCCACCCTGCTTCCTGTGAAAACCTTTCTGATAAGATTCTCTGGAAGGTATCCTGGCCCTGAAATAATGCACCCTTTTAATGTCATAGCCCCACCCTCCTTTTGCCTATAACAACCTTCCATTTCGTACAACTCATTGGAGTGACCTTCTAGTTGTTACATGGGATGCTGCCTGATTCATGAATTGCTTAATTAAAGCCATTTAGAGCTTCAGATTTACCCAGCTGCCTTTTGTCTTTTAACACTTCTTTACCAACGGAGTTTGAGTTGGTGTGTCCCAAATTTGCCTTTTATGTACTATCTTCAGGATTTTTCCAATATCTACGTTCTACTGTTTATTTACTGCTAGAGGCTCAGTGCACAAATTCATGCACCAGTGGGGTTCCTTGGCCTGGCCTGCAGGATAGGGCCAAACCAGCTCTCCCACATCGTCTGAGGGGGTCCCAGATTGTAAGAGAATGCAGGTCAGGCTGAGGGACCCCACTGGTGCAAGATCAGGGCCTGAGAGGTACGAGGGAGGTTGGCCATCTGGAGAGAGACTGTGGGAGGGCTCCAGGGTATGTCTGGCTGGTGTCACTTAGTCCTGATCAGCTAACCTACTGGTCAGAGTGTCTGCCACCTGGTGGTCAGTGCACATCATAGTAAGCGGTTGAGTGGCATTAGCATATTATGCTTTGATTGGTTGAATGGATGGCCAGATGACTGGACACTTAGCATATTAGGCTTTTATTATATAGAATTTTTTAATTTTTTACTTATTTATTTTTTTAAAATTTATTGATTTTTTTAGAGAGGAAGGAAGAGGGACAGAGAGTTAGAAACATTGATGAGAAACATCGATCAGCTGCCTCCTGCACATTCCCCATTGGGGATGTGCCCGCAACCAAGGTACATGCCCTTGACCGGAATCAAACCTGGGACCCCTCAGTCCGTAGGCTGATGCTCTATCCACTGAGCCAAACCAGTTAGGGCTAGGAATTTTTTTACATCCACCTTTTAAAATACTTACAATAATTTAAAAAATTTTTAATTACAATTTACATTCAATGTTATTTTTTTTTAGTTTCAGTTGTACAGCCTAGGGGTTAGCTAATCATATATTTTATAAAATGTTCCTCTTGATAATTTCCAGGACCCAACTGGTGCTTTTAATGGACGTATACAGTATGCACAGAAAAAATGCAATCATAATTCATTTTACTAAAATTTTACAAACGGAACATCCCTGTATAGCCAACACCAGGTAAAGAAACATTTCCGTACTCCAGAAGCCCCCTCATGCCTCTTACTTCCTTCTCTCATACCAAGAGCCACCACTATTATGATTTCTAACAGCTAGAAAAGTTTCACCAGTTCTACAATTACTTTTTGAAATTTTAGCATTGTTTTATGCATTAATCTGTTAATGCACTGCTTTGTTCTGTACATTTTCCTCTACGCATACATACGAGTATATGGTCCTATTGATCTTTAAAATGTTCTTCCATGCATCATCTGTAAATGTTTTAGATCCTATCTTCCTTGAGTACCACCAGTGAT